TAAATAACTCCAAAGTACTCAGTTACCAAGGAGCCTACATGACCTCTCCTGATTTCCCCTTTCCTTGAGTTTTCAATTTTTTCCCAATGCTATTAATATTGATATTATTATCATTACTGATATTATAATTATCATAATGTCATTAATAATAATAAAAGCAATAAGAATAAAAATAAAATCAAGGACTAGGGTAAACAGGTGAGATAGGTCCAGACTAGTAACTTGCTCTCTTAGTGATTAAGTACTTGTGAGGCCATCAAAGTGCTGTGACAAATAATGGTAACTGAGGGTCATATTTGTGGAGGGTGAGGGAGAGGATGATGAAAAGAAATGAAAAGAAAAGAAAAGAAGGAGGGGGTGAGGAGAAGGAGGAGAAGGAGGTGGAGGAGGGGATGAGGAGAAGGAGGAGAAGGAGGAAAAGGAGAAGTAGAAGTAGGTAAATAGAGTGGTAAACAGAGTAAAAGGAGAGGAAGAGGAAAGAGGAAGAACCTACATTTTCATCACCATCTGTTAATTGGTAAACAAAACAGTAATTAACTGATTCAACTTACTTGTCTTTGCTTGGAACTGTTCCACATTGTCTTTTCTGTCCGTCTTCATCCACAACCCATGCTCGCCACTGACCAGGCACATTGTTAAACATAGTGTTATCTACATATAAAATGTCTTCTTTTCGAAAGCGAAGATCAGTAGAATCCCCTGCATCACCCAATCGATCAAACAATGCACGTATATAGAAGCTGTCACCAGGTTTATCCTGAATTTCTTCATATCCTGAAAGCATTGGGAATCATGAACAAATCAGATTTTAGGAGATGCTGCAACACTGACCAAACTGGATTTTTGAAAGTGAAAATTTGCATAAAAGTATAAACATTACTTCAAAAATACTATGAACAGAAACAAAACTTAATTTCACATATTTTTCACATATTGTTCTTTGAACTCACTTTGGTAATTGTACTGCACTAGCATTTTGACATTATCAGCAGGTTTTGCAAGCTCAAAGGCAGCTTGTTCAGCAGTAGCATGTCGGAGATCCACTCCATTGTACTCAAGGATGTGGTCACCGGGACGGAGCCCAGCTTTAGCTGCCGGGGAGTCTGGAGGAACAGCATGGACAAAGATCCCCAGAGCATTTCCCCCAACCATCTGTATTCCTAAATTGTGGGATTTATTAAGCTCCAAATACACCAGTCGTGGTTCTGCACTTGCATTATTAGGGCTGACTCCACTTCCTCCACTGCTTGCTCCAGGATTACTGCCTCCACTACTAACACCACCATTACTGTTACCAACACCACCATTCTCACTACGCCTGAAAATAAAATAATATAATTAATGTGAAATAATCAGGCACCAATTATTTCTAACATTAAATAACAAAAATCCAATGTCTTTATGCATAAGATAAAATTTTCATTGAAATTATAACCCACATATTGATCACACACACACACCTTGAAAATGTTTCTCTTTTAAGTGAATTCATCACATGTGCAATTTCAGGACGGGTGAGTGTGGATCTAGCAGAAGGCGACAAGGAATGATCAAGGGAATGGTCGAGAGTGTCACGAAGATCCAGTGGGCTCCGCAGAGTGGATGTCGATGACGGGGGCATGTTATCATCATCTACAGAATGGGGAGAGTCATGCGAGGTTGGTTTGGGAGAGTTGCGAGGGGTTGGGGTGCCCGAGCGAGAACCTCCGACGCTGCTGCTGCTGCTGCTGCCTACCCAACCTTCTGCTTCTTGGTATTCTGCAAAATGAACAGTTAAGAAAGTAAGTACCCTAACCAAATATTTCCTAACTTGACCATAGACAAAAACAGGTTAAACTTAGCTAGCAATAAAGAATATAACAAAACTAAAATATGTCAAATACCTAATAACACTTATACTTACTTTCTGGATTATATTGGACTAACATGGTAACAGACGTGCCACACTGGGAAAGTACTGTTGAGGCTGACTGCTTTGTGGCTGATCTCAGGTTGATTCCACAGACCTCTAATAACTGGTCACCAACACACAACCCAACCTGTTGAATCATTCATCACTTAAACTCAGGATAAACATCACGATACATGTAAATATTCTCAATATACTGTCATAAGATCTTACTGTGAAGATTATGTAACCATGACCATCGAGAATATGAACAAATCGTACCTGGGAGGCAAGTGAATTGAGTGTCACTGCAGAGACAAAAACACCCCCATTCTCTAAACAGCGAATTTGGATGCCCAGAGGCTCTGCAGACTTCTCTATGTCAATATTTCTAATTTCTCCTGGATGTGGTCTGTTGGCAAAAAGGTGTGTTATTTCTACATGAAAAAAATATCATCACCAGTAAATAATAACATTAACATTAAAACCATAATATAAAGTTATATATCACACAATTATGTTTTCCAGTGATTAACATAACAT